GGTATAAAGAAAACACATAGTTGCTTTCAAGAAAAATATGTAATTTGCAACATGCAACTGCATACTTTTTTTTAAAACCAATGTGTTTTTTTTATACCAATTGATTCGTCTCATTATTTTGTGCATAAAAGTATTAAGATAACATTCTCAAAAATTGAATGTTTTACAAGATATTTTGTATTTTATGTCAAAATGCTGTAACTTTCAAGCCTCATAACTCGAAAAGTACTTAATGAAAATAACTTCATTATAGTGTTTTGAAAAGCTCTTGACACCAGCTATTAGATTTTGGAATCAAAAATAGTGTTTCTATAGGTTCTATAGGTTTCTATTTAAAAAATTTGATTTGACCTTGAAATGACCTTGAAGGTCACGGGCAAGGCCAAATCTAAGGTCACCATCGGATTGCCCGAGAAAAATCCTACAACTTTTATCGAGGTCATTTTCCTCTGTGATGCTTATTTTTCAAATTATCCAGCCGTCCCGAAATTTTTGACACACGCTGTATATGTATATATAAAGAAACATAATGTACATAAATAGGAATATGTGTTCAATGGGATTCAAGTGTGGACTTTGACTAGGCCAGTCTATAACGTTAATTTTATTCTTTGTAAAGAATACAGAACATACAAGACGATTTTGGCCATAAGAGGCTATAAATGTGTGTAATAAAAAATATACAGCAGCGCTCATAAGTATTTTGACGAAGATATTATGTCATATAACTTTACTTATAATGTAATTATAAATTTAAAAAAAATTAAGCAAAATACTCATCAATAACTTAAATATTTTATAACAAAAACCGATAATTATATAATTTTTTATAAGAGTAGGTGACAAGAAACTAAAACAGGACAGTTCAAAAGTATTTTGACACAATATTGTCCTTAAAAAAGTAATTAATTTTTAAAAGAAAATAAACTTTTTTGTATCTAAATCATGTTTTTAGTATCTTATGCATAACCATTTGCCATTTTAATTAATTGCCACTTTAAGTTTGACATCTCTGACATTGAATCAATTAATTTGACAACAAAAGGGATTTTTGACCATTCTTTGCTTAAATAAGAAGTAAAAAGTCGTTTCGTTCTTATTTTTTTTTGGAAATTTTCTGTTTTTGATTCGTCTTCCAAGCTCTTCCCGTATGTGTTCAATGGGATTCAAATGTGGACTTTAACTAGGCCAGTTTATAACGTTCATTTTATTCTTCGCAAAGAATTCTTTGACATATTGAGAATTGTTTTGAATTGTTGTCTTGCTGAAAAATCTAGTTTTGAGACATATTTTTTTTTGTATATGACAGCATGTGTTCGGACAAAATTTCCAAATACATGAAGCGGTCCATATTGTCCTTGATCCATATTAATAGACCTTGTCCTTTGCGAGAAAAACATCCTGTAATGAAAGCTGTAATTAAAACAAATGATTATACAACAAGATATTAAAAATATATTAAAGTTTAGATACAAAAAAGTTTATTTTCTCATAAAAATTAAATTACTTTTTTAAGGACAATATTGTGTTAAAATACTTTTGAACTATCCTGTTTTAGTTTCTTGTCGCCTACTCTTATAAAAAAATTATTAAAAATTATAAAAAAATTATATAATTATCATTTTTTGTTATAAAATGTTTAAGTTATTGATAAGTATTTTGCTCAATTTTTTTAAAATTTATAATTACATTATAAGTAAAGTTATATGAAATAATATCTTTGTCGAAATATTTGATTATTACTGTGTTTTTTTTATTATTCACAAATTAACAGCGAGTGTTGTATTTTTTAAAGCTATTTTTAGGCTATCTCAAATTATTTATATATTATATAATAAATTTCTCATAAATGCAACTATTTTTGTAATATTATAACATTATAATTTTATTTAGAGTAACAAAAACAATTCAGAAAGGAATCAATTAATCAATTAATTCTACATATTAGATATATAAGAAAAAATACAATTTTGCTATTTAATTCATAAAAGGTAAATCAAATAATATTAAAAAATGACTATAGCAAATATGTGAGACGTTTTATGACTTAAATAGTTTAATAAAAATTTGAAAATTTGATTTTTGGTTTTTCTCACACACACATACACATAGCTTTCTCAGATTCTGGACTAGCGTGTATAAAAAAATAGAATTACAGTATGTAGTTATTTCATCGTATTATGATATCGTAATATACAAAATGTTTTCAGAATTGAACAAGTTTTTAAAAAAATAAATAAAATTTTTGTAATTTTTTTCTTTTGATAGAACAATAGTTTTTGAAACAGGAACTTAAAACTAGTTAATCACTATATAATTGCTTCTAAGAGAGTGCGCATGATGGTGTCAGTGATTGCATCCTTGACCTATATTGATATGAAATACTTTATGCACACCAATATACAAAATTTTTATGAAAAATTTATATACGTTTTCCTACAATGATAATGTGAGCAGTAACAATTTTTTCTTTTTTTGATCACTAACCTACCATATACATGATTGATAGATAGTTATCTAAACTAAATATAGTTTGGCCAACCTTGAATCTTTATATACGAAACATTTTTGTTTACAATAAAATATCGCGCGCAAAGATTTTATTACTTAATTTTTCATGAATTTTTCTACCATATTATTTTAGAAAATCAATCAATTCTATACATTTTAATAACGGTCTCAAAGCATGACCACAACTAGAGTTTACATTTCACAACTTTATGTTAATTACTGAGGATGATCAAATATTGATCAAAATGTATAATTAATTTTTATCAATATAAAGATTGTTAACACATATTTATAATAAGAAGTAGACAATAATACTAACTGATAACATCTTAAACAATTGTAAAATATAACGTTTAATATAAATAATTGTAAAATATAATGTTTAAACAATTGTAATAATATGAAAAGTGTTAACACATATATATTAAGATTGTAATTCTAGCAAATAATAACTAGCGTTTAGGCACGAAATCCTCTCCCTTTTCGTATTTTTTAATTTTTTTATATTATTTAAATTTATAAATTTTGGAACGTTATATGTATAATTTGATTGTGTGGTGACATATTTAATATTTACATTTTTGTTTCGAGGTTAGTTACGAATGACTTTTGTATGGTCCTAAAAGAAGTTACTTAATGCAATTAAGAGTTACGTAGAATCCATTGTCGTCGTCATTAAAAAATTGTGTCTGTAATTCAGCAATTCAGCCAGTTGTGCAAGTTGACCGACATGAGCTAGTTGGCTTCACATTCGAGTCGTCGACGTGATTGATCGTGTCTATGCAGATCATGCCAAATCTGTTGAACTTCTTATTAAGTTGGCCAAAGTTAGTTTTTGATTGTGGTAACTTTTTTTGTGGATAGGACGAAAAATTCACATAATACTCTTCGTCTTATCGGATAAAATACGTGGATACTTATTAGGGTACAATTTCTTCATTTAACGTTTGTCAACGTTGTCGAATGCACTGATTGGCTTCTAGTGTCATGTGATTTTCCGTTACAACAAATTTTGTCGTAACATGTGTAAGGACTTGAGCATAAAGATTGTCGTAAGGAGACTAAAGGCCATTCTACAATGAGTTGCAAATGCCTCGTTGCCAGTTGCAAAGAATGGCAACTACTAGTGGAAAAGTGGTATTTCCGGTTGCGCTTGGCCGTTGCGGTTGCCAACAGAGAGTTGGTCAACTTTTAACTTTAAACCAACGCACAATGAATTACGTAAACGTAGGCTGTATTCATCGCATGTTGTATTGCATTTGACTTCCGTTTACGACTCTGTCGGGAACAGTTACGGCAATCTTTGTGCTCAGGCCTTAATACTATTCACGTTTATCGTAAGAAGTCGGATCAGTTCGATTTCATTTCGGCAAAAATTTAACAATTCTCCAATAGAAGCTCCCCACCTCATCGACAGTCAATTGGCACATCTGACAACGTCGACAAATATTAAGTGAAATTGTATCCTTAGAAAAATCAGCTTTAAGCTTGGAATACTTAAAAGTCATTTAACAGGAACTAAGGAACTAGAGCAAACAGAACGTTCCAGTCTTTTCTTGGCAATTCCGTTTCGAAAAAGAAGTTCAATAGTGAGACACAATGACAACGGCATTAACCATTGGCATGGCATTAATTGTGGTGATGTTGATTGTTTCATTTATTTTTGCCGTGTTGATGCGACAAAGATTGACTTATCCGCCAGGTAATTTATTTATTTATATCTTTATTTCATATTTAATCATATCTTTGCTTTTATATAAGAAGAATATTTAGTAATAATGATAGATTGGCTATATATATATATATATATATATATATTACATATTTATGATATTACTTTAATGGATTATTAACGATCTACAGAGTCAATAGCTTTTTGTAATTCTTAATGATATTGTTATGTATCATTGCGTAGCAATTATATGATACAAAAAATTTGCACAGTGATACATAACGACATCGTTAAAAATTATAGAATAGGGGGCTTAGAATTTACACCGATGATTTAATACGCGTGTCAAGTATTAAGGCCTATCCAGACAAACTTGCATAGCGCATAAGCATATGCATAATCATAACCATAATAAAGGTCTATCTCACGGATTAAGGAACAGAGGGACCGAGTCTAAAGTCCTAGTTTAGGCGAGAGGGGATGGTAATTCAAGCGTGCGGGGGGGACTGCTTTCCGCCATATTGATGTAGCGATTCTCACACAGAGATTCTGTGTCTGTGACATGGTTACACTCGTGTAGTGGTGCCACTAGACATAACGAGTGACAAGCGTAAAGAGGTTAGGCGGTTTTATTATTGTTGTACTATAAATTTTATAAAATACTTTAACTTTTATTACTCTGAGGCTCTGCATACAGTAGACAAAATATTAGAAATAGCAATAAACATTTAATATTAAAAAAAAATTATTTTACATCTAACAAGAGAATAAAATATATTAATTAGTTCCAATTCTTAATTCATGCATTAATTTTTTCTATTTTTAAAATAAATAATTCCAATTTCTTATTTCTAATATTTAATAATTATTCCTATTTCTATTTCCTATTTTGTTTATTGTGTTGTTGTCTCAGGATTTGACTGTCATTTCTCATACATACGCAAATAGTGAGTTCTATGTGTGGTGATTACTAAACAAATATGGCGGCCCCCTCCCCCCCCGCCGCAAACGTGCTCCACCGGTACAGCTTATGCTCCGTCTCTCTATTCCTTAGTCCGTGGTCTATCTAGACAAATTTGTATAGCCGCATATAAGCAGAGAGAAGCCTGAGAGGGGCCATACCCAAGATCTTCTATAGATCTTGGGCCATGCCGTCGTTTTTCGTACGACGCTTTCTCTAGGCCAGTGCTCGGAATTAGTCTGAACATTTCAGCCGATTTCCGTGGTATACGCCTCCTTTCCTCTTCTTACCGCGCGCGCCGCAGCCGCTAGGGCCAGCGCCGCCGAACGTTAGGAGCGACACTATCTGATTATGAGTGGGTTCTTCTCCCTATTTATTAAAATTTAAAAAAATGTATTAAAATTTATTAAAAATAAATTTTTTATTTTTAAATTTATTAAGTGGAAATATTTCAATAGATTTCTACGTCACCCATGAGGTACTAATACTGACACGTTTTTCAAAAAGTGGTTTTTATCTACATTATTGCACCAATTGTTCATTCTCATAAAAGGCTAAGAAAATCTAATTAAGAAAATCTCTTTTACATATATATTTTTTTTTAAATTAAGAATTTATTTTTATCTTTAGTGGAATAGGTCTACGGGGGAAACCATTAAAAAAAAACGCGTCAGCATTAGTATCTCATGGGTGACGTGGAAATCTATTGAAATATTTCCACTTAATAAATTTAAAAATAAAATTATTTTAATAAATTTAATACATTTTTAAAATTTAATAAATAGGGAAAAGAACCCACTCATAATCAGATAGTGTCGCTCCTAACGCTCGGCGGCGCTGGCCCTAGCGGCTGCGGCGCGCGCGGTAAGGAGAGGAAAGGAGGCGTATACCACGGAAATCGGCTGAAATGTTCAGACTAATTCCGAGCACTGCTCTAGGCCGTACAGTAGCGCTAACTGGATACATTTTTTGAGCCGGCGGAACTACATGGCCAGATCCACTTTTCGCTATGGTAAAACGGCCGATTGGTGCATGTCTGTGCTAGATCCACAATTATGGATCTAGCACGGACATGCACCAATCAGCCGTTTTACCATAGCAGTTTTAATAAAAAAAACGGAAATATTATGGATCTATTAATATGTTTTATTATAGCCGCGCATGATCTTTTTCCATTTTAGTATATATTACGGACAACGATATGAGTTATTATATTGAAATATTTTTATGTATGCGCATGTGCAATAAAATAAATTTTCTCATTATTTCGATAGAACTAAAATTAAGAATAACATTATCGGCGTAGCCTACAGACTTACGCCGCGTAGGTCCGTGTGTATGCATTTGTTTGTATTTGAGTGGTAACTCACTACACTGACGTGTGGTCTGTGTACGCGTCATCGGATAGTTTGTAAACAAACGACGCTTGCGATTGTTCCTCGACTGAAATTTCGCAAGGCTGCAATATAATGTACAAGACGACATAGGCGTATACAAGATGTCAAATAAATTTGAATTAAATATGACAAAGTAATAAATAAAAAATATACATATAATACTATATATATCACTAAAGAAAAATGTCATATACTTTTCTTATTTTTATTTTTATGTAGTAAATACAAAATAACTAATTAATCAATTAATTAATATATACATATACACATATATTGAATAAATAGTTATCTTTATTTTGTATTTTATATGATAATGACTGAAATAATAAGAGTATATATCATTTCAGTTATATAAAATACAAAATAAAAATAATTCAATATGTATATGTATGTATTGAATAATTAACTTATTTATTTATTTTGTATTAATTACATAAGAATAAAAATAGGGAAAGCATATAACATTTTTTTCCAATTAGATATATAGTATTAT